ATGACTAACTATCTAAGGATCATCAGTGACTACTTCAAGAGTTGGGGACTGGTGGTCAATCCCAACAAAACAGTTTTCCAATACTTCAGCAACAAATGCAAGCAGGTTACAGTCATGCGCTTTGATGGCAAGCTCATAAACTATAAAGCACAGCACAAAGTGCTTGGCATGATTTTGGATGCTCCATGCTTATGTTGGGGGCCGCATATTACTAGCTTGCAATGTGACATTATCCGCAGGATGGACCTTCTTAAAAATATGGCATGCCCAAACTGGGGTGCTGTTGATGTTGTTGTTGACCCTCCCCGCCTCACTTCATGGCGTGAGGCGGGGCCTAGACCCAGTTCTGGGGCCAGCCAAGTCGGCCACCCCAGCAGGCCAGCAGCCCTGCAGCGTTTACGGGGTCCGCCCAAAGGTCACCCACCGACAGGGATGTGGGCATTTCAGGGCAGGAGAAAAGATGAATGGTGTTGTGCGTGTTAGACAGACAGAGTGGGCAAAGTGGAGAAGGGTGTGTGGCAGGGTCTATTTTATTTAGATATGAGAGAAGTAGTGATGATTTATTAGTGCAAAGTTGGGCAAGGTTCCTGCGTGCAGGTCTAGGTAGGTTGATTTCAGATGGGTGAATCTGTGGTGCGGGCATGTTTAAAATTTTATTGTGAGGGAGGGTTGCAAGATAGTTTTCTGTAATTGTAGTGTGGATTGTTTTGAGATTTTGTTTGATTGTGTCCTGTGTAGCTTGTGCAGTATCTATGTTGGTGGTGAAACCTGTGTTGTGGAAAATGGTTTGTTTCATGAGACGGTGTGGGTGCGGCTGAAGGGTGAGGATATGTAGTGGGTGGGTTGGGTTTTGTGCTTTCTGTCTGAGTTGTGAGGCGTGAAGTTTGAGGTGTTGTGTTAGGGGTAGGAGTTTGATTTCTTGGTGAAGGTGGTGGATGTTGGTGTCTGCGGTACAGCCTGTGGCTATCCTGAGTACTGCATTCTGGACTGTTTGGAGTTTGTTCATTTGCGTGGGTGATATAATTGGTGACCAGGATGAGTTTGCGTATTCAAGGATTGGACGCGTGATTGTTTGAAATGTGGTTGTGAGTAGTTCTTTTTGTTTTCCCCATTGTGTGGCTGTAAGTGATTTGATTATTTTGATGGTATTATTGGCTTTGTCGTGAGTATTGCTAATGTGAGTGCTGAAGGTGAGCTTTGGGTCAAAGGTAAGTCCAAGTATTTTAGGATTGCGTACTTTTGGAATGAGTGTATTATTGATATTGAGGTTGAGTTGTGTGCTATATTCAGCCGGGTCAGGTGTGAAAAGAGTGGCAGTGCTTTTTGTTGCATTGAGTTGTAGTTGGTTTTCTGTGGTCCATGTGTGTATGGTTTGTAGGTATGGAAGAAGGACTTGTGCAGCAGTGTTATAGTCTTTGTGGGAGGATAAGATAGTTATATTGTCTGCATATGTAATTATTTTAATATTGGGTGGAGGTGAGGGTATATCTGAAACATATATGTTGAACAGGGTGGGTGATAGGACTCCGACTTGTGGTACACCTGTTTTGAATAATTTTTGTTTTGAATTGGTATTATTGACTTTTGTGAAACCTTTTCTGCCTTACTTGGCAGAAACTGGGGTGCATCCAGGTGCTTCCTCCGGAAGTTTTACTGTGCCTATATCCGAGCAAAGATGGATTATGGATCCACCCTCTATCAGACAGCCTCAAATTCAGTGCTTGCCAAATTAAATGTGCTGCAAAATGCCTGCTTGCGCTTGATCCTGGGTGCGCGACGAACAACTCCCATCATCTCCCTGCAAGCCTGCAAGCTGAAGCGCGTATACCTGCCCTGTCCCTCCGCCGCCAGTCACTTGGGGCCCAATTAGCTCTAAATCTGTGTTACAGACCTACTAATGATAAAACTGCTTCACTGACGATGCTTCCCTGCACAAGGATAAACTCCACCTAGCTACAGCCGCTGCCCATCTCCGTTTGTATGGGCCCTGTCACCGTATACAGTGCCTGTTGTGGATCCAGCCCCTCCGTGGAAACAAGTTACTGCATACATACAAGTCAACATGAACTCTACATTGGGAGTGGAACCCATGCATCAATTCAGTGCTACCATGGGTGAGAATTTTCCAGGCTTTCACACTGTTTTCTGTGATGGTTCTTGCCTGCCCAACCTGGTATCGAGTGCTTGTGGCATCTACATTCCTTCGCAGGATAAAGCCATTTCTTGGCGCCTGCACCCAAAGAACAGTGTGTTAACTGCTGAGCTCTTTGCCATCTACCACTCATTGGTTGTTGTTGAGGGTGCTTCACACCCTGACTGGGTTGTCTGCTCTGACTCCCGTTCAGCTCTACTTCTCCTGCAGTCACCTAGGAGCCTCCACACCAGATGCTCACTTGTTGTCTACCGCATCAGGGAGATGCTCAGGAGGCTTAATGCTGACAGACGAGTGGTGCTACAGTGGGTGAAAGCCCATGCTGGGATTCATGGAAATGAGTTGGCAGATTGGGCAGCCAAGTTGGGACATGAGCTCAACCACAGCTCATTCCACCCAGTAGAGTTTCCAGACTGTAAATATTGGCTCAGTAGACAATTACTTGCTTGTTGGCAGGAAAATTGCCACCAAACTGTTGCAGTTTCTGGAATGGGACAACACCTGCTGACCATACGAGAAGATCTACTTCCTATCCCATAGATACATGCAAGATCTCAGCGTGTCACAGTTGTGCTGGCTCGCCTTCGGCTGGGACATGTGGGTTCGAATGCATATATGCTTTGCTTCTCCATGTCTGACTCACCTTTGTGTGCCACCTGCAACCGGGACGAAACCATAGAGCATGTGCAGTCGATATAGTGTTGGGAAGAAATTAGAGCGCACTCTGTTTGGCTTGGGCATCCAGACCCTGACCCTGCGAACACTACTTGGCGGGGGTGACTACTCAAAACACATACAACATCTCATCATTAAAGCAGTTACCAAATTTCTTGCAAGCACTGGACGCCTTGGAACCCTTTGAAGAAGTATCAAGCTATAGGGGAAGTAATATGGAAACGTAACATAAATCCACCAGTTATCTGGAAATACCAAGAAGAGGAACTATGCCAACTATGGAGGGGGGTGGGCCTGGGTGGCACTCAGTTGAGTGACGTTGTGGTGATCATCATCATCAGGAACTATGCCAGCTATGAATCAAGACAGTTAAAAGATCTTTGGAAACCATGAAAATTATAGCAGCAACCCAAGCAATTGCCATCTATCTGGAAATAATACCAGGGAAATCCTGAAATAACTGCCACCTCCTACAAGCAAGAAAAATTTGACTGTGGCTGCAAGTGGAAAATTTGGAAAGCCAGCAATTAATGTCATGTCCAGGTGTGACAGTTGGCCTGAGTGAGGTCATCTCTTCACCTTCAACAAAGCACACACATATGTATCATCTGAGCCTCTGAAGTGAGGTGCAGCACTCCGTTAAACCCATGGTTGAACTATGGTAGTTGTATAGTTCAACCATAGTTAAACCCACCGAAGAACACAGGGCCTATATTTTCAAAAAAAGTTAAGAGATTGTAAGTTCATCAGCCAATCATGGACAACCTTTCAAGCAAAATCCACCAATCGTAGACAAGAAAATAGAGCGTAAGTACTTACGTTCACTTAGCGAGTTTTGAAAGTATGGCCAGAACAGCTTCATGGCTTCTGCATCTACGATCAGTCCAAGCAGTTTAATTGATTTATTATTGTTACCTTTCGTCTCAACATGTTTTGGAAATTGCAGCTCCTTGATGACTGTTGACATAAACTCCCGATTCCCGAAAAAATTTTCACTACGGACTTTTCAAACATTACTCTCTTATGTCTCGTTCTCGTAGCAAGTTAGAGAATATAGGTAATAACTTACCAATTTGAAATATCGGACCAAAGCTTTGTATAATTGCGGGTAAAAATTATTGTTTATAGGAGATTTTTGAAAGTTGCAGGTGAAAATAGGCCAGTTTTCCTATAGCCTATAGGGTGAAATTGGCCAGATTCACACACACTGCTCACAGTCATTCCAATTCATGGGTATTTGGTGGCTTCTGAAAAATTTCCAGTTAGGATTATTGACTGATAGCATTTTGAAATTTGAAGTCCCCGACTCCCTTCATCCTCAGGCTTCCAAAATCCAAACTAGAAAATTGAGCAGAAGCCACCTGTGAATTGGACAAAAACTGTGAATCTGGCCAGTTTTACCTATTCCTATGGCCCTCTCTGGCTCTCCCTATTTCTTTACTATAAAAGAAAAACTGCCCATTACACCCCATTTTAAAAGACTTTTTTTTGTGAAACAATCATTTCACCTGCAATTTAAGTAACTTCTGCCTGATATTCTAAATATAGCTATTAGAGAAGGGCCTTCACAGAAGGCTTGGACAAGCCTTCTCAGAAGGCTTGTCCTTGTGGGTCTTGATTACTACCCACAGCCACTCTCAGTTAACAGTTGTGTTGTTAGAACCACTACTGAGTACTGGCCAGAGACTAGCCTAGCTAGCTGTCACTGTCAGTTTGGGATTTCACTTAATGTACAAGATAATCACAAGGTTATCCCATCAGCTAGAGCCTAGACTAGAGACACTCATTCAGTGCATTTTTTGGAATTTGTTTAAACATAAGGAATGTGTTGATAAAATTCATTTCCATTTTGATTTAAAATAGCTGATCAATGTCTTTTACTTTATTAATTATATGCACTCAGTTACCCATATGGTACCTTCTAACTCCAGACATAGCAGATATAGAGCAACTGACCAAGCCTGCCAAAGGGCAGTCTGACGTCTCTTCAAAATGTTATGGTGAAGCCAGCTAATTAAAACCTCATTAGAATGCAAGTTCAGAATCCTAAGAGATATTAATTGTGAACATTTTTTTTTGCTATAGAAACATAAGGGATAATTTATTATTGTGCTGGCTAATAGAAAATTTTCGATAATAGGTAATGACAAGCAATGAAACCTAGATTCAGAGGCTCCAATTCCTGAGCTGCTCATTACATATTTTTGTTTGTTTCAGATTGAATTGGTGGTGCAATGAACCCCACCACCAACCCTGCTTGCCTCAGCATCAGCTTGGCTGGTGTTGCTCCACTTGCAGATGATTTTTCACCAGTGCAAGAATGTGATATTAATGAGACAACACAGAACTGTGCTACAGCCCAACCTCTTGATGCAACTAACATAATGAATAGAATTGATACTCCCACTGAAGTGTTAATTAAATATCAAGTTACTCATAAAAGAAATTTTTCAAATTCTGTCAGTGTAGATGGTCAAATTTCACTATATGCAATACATTTTTTATTATTGGTTAGAGAATTGACAACCTCGCTTAATTTTAGACAAAACTTTATTAAAAAATTAGAGAATTTATATTGTAGGAGGAGCAGAAACAGAAATTGCATCTTGAACAATTTAAAAGATGAGTCCACAGACCATGAAGATCTCAAGTTGGTTCGCCACTCTGGGCAAGCTAATACTTGGCCATCAGAGAGCATCCCAAATGTAAATTCTCTACAATTTAACTTTGTTGTGAATGTTCCAGTGTTGGAGGTTCACATACAGGAGAGTCCTCCACCTCCCATAGATAAAAGGTGTGGTACTTGGCAGCTGCTGCTACTAACTTATATTGATTTAATTTGCATGGTAGCATATAATAAAGGGTCTTATGTTATTCTCAGTTATGTTTCAACTTACAAAATTTAAGGTTGATAATTTTTGCCTTGTGCATCTTTTTGCTCATGCTCCCCCTAGATGAGCATCATTTGTGGTTCAGACAGCTTTTCAATAGTTATCTTGTAAAAGTATAAATCCTTGCAAATGGCATGAATTAATTGTCATTTAATTGAGTTATTACAATCGTTATTACATGAACTATTTCTATCATGGAATAATATCCATGAATCCATATCCATGGAATAACTGTAACTTGTCATCACTCACTAATGTAGAAAGTTGGCCTTCACTAGTAATGTTTTATGTTAGCATTCATTATTAATGATGCAAAATGCATTATGAGCTTGAGGTGCTGCTAACAAGTGCGTTGTGTGCAGGTGGTGCATAGCTTGTGTTGTGTGCAGGTGGTGCATAGCTTGTGTTGTGTGCAGGTGGTGCATAGCTTGTGTTGTGTGCAGGTGGTGCAGGATACTTGTGTTGTGTGCAGGTGGTGCATAACTTGTGTTGTGTGCAGGTGGTGCATAACTTGTGTTGTGTGCAGGTGGTGCAGGATACTTGTGTTGTGTGCAGGTTGTGCAGGATACCTGTGTTGTGTGCAGGTGGTGCAGGATACTTGTGTTGTGTGCAGGTGGTGCAGGATGCTAAACATGAGCGTGCAGGAGTTGTCAGAGTTGGACGCATGGATGTCCTGGCTGTCTACTCTGGGAGGCGCGTGCTCAGCGCTGGGTGATGGCAGTGTGAGGTGGGCGGACACGGCGGCCAGCATCTCTGTCCGGCAGATGACCATCGCCAGACGGCTCGGTGACCCCACCATCGTGGCCCGATGTAGGCTCTACACCGCCATTGCCTGCATACAGAAACATCAGTACAAGGTATCTCATCCTTGCTGTATTGCCAAGCTCTTTTTATCGTATATTGCTATTTAATATCTTATCTTGCTATCTATAATCTCGTTTACTATAGCTGCAATCTTAAAATATACCATTAATATCTTGCATTTCTATCTGCAACCTTATCTTAATGTCTACTATCTTATCTTACTAAAAATTATTTCATCTAAATATTTAAAATAATTTATTTGCTTTATACTTTAAGTTAAGGCTCATTGAACCATCTCGTTAATTCAGGTCTTATATCCTGATGGTCTGATGAAGCGGACTGGTCTGTTAACATAATTAATGAAGTATAATAAAATCGAAAATAAGTTAGGCTTACAGTGGATGAGCAATAGATGGAGCTGTTAAATGCGCCCTATGCCTAAAGGCCTTACTTGTGTTGGCAGCATCATGCAACCACGCCATAGGTAGATACAGGCGGACATATCGTCCTCACTAATGCACAAAAAATATACTTATAACTGAGATAAATTAACGCGTCTGAAATATATTGATCCATGACCAGCAATAAATCACAGTTTCAGTCGTCAGTCGAGTTATTGAGATTTTTCCCTAATTTTTTCAAGCGTCCTCGATACGTCACTCATCGAACGAAGCAATGCCACATTCATAAATATCAGTGACTCCTAATAGCGATGCTGTTGTTGTCTTCGTGTGGGTCACACTGATTCTACATAGAGTGTGTATCAGTGCTACGTCTGCTTTTAGCTCGCGCCATGGATAAAAATTAGTACGTTATTTTATGGACAATGTGACGCCTTTACTTCTCTGAGTGCAGGTAGAGCGTCCTCTGCCACTCAGTGTCCTACCAGGCCTTTGACGTTTAATAAACATTGTAATAATGAAATTAGCTAGTAATCAACGTTGTTTGAACAAAATTAACTCGGAATCAACATTGTTTCAACGAAATTAACTCGTAATCAACGTTTTTTCAACGAAATTAACTCGCAATCAACGTTGTTTCAACGAAATTAACTCGGAATCAACGTTGTTTCAACAAAATTAACTCGGAATCAACGTTGTTTCAACGAAATTTACTCGTAATCAACGTTGTTTCAACGAAATTAACTCGTAATCAACGTAATTTCAACGAAATTGACTCGTAATCAACGTAATTAACTCGTAAGCAACGTTTCTTAACGAAATTAACTCGTAATGAACGTTGTTTCAACTAAATTAACTCGTAATGAACGTTGTTTCTACGAAATTAACTCGTAATGAACGTTGTTTCAACGAAATTAACTCCTAATGAACGTTGTTTCAACGAAATTAACTCGTAATCAACGTTGTTTTAACTAAATTAACTCGTAATCAACGTTGTTTCAACTAAATTAACTCGTAATCAACGTTGTTTCTACGAAATTAACTCGTAATGAACGTTATTTCAACATGATTTTCATGTAGGGTAACCGCCAAGCCTCTCCCTCCTGCAGATGGCGGCTACGGTGGTGCGGCAGGAGCACGCGGCGGTGCTGAGGCTGCCCCAGGAGCGCCGGGACCCGCGGCTGCTGAAGATGTGCCACGGCATCTGGGCCAAGTTGTGCTACGAACGCCACATGCATCGCCACGCGCCAGATGCCATGTGTGGCCGTGACCAGCCGATTGGTGTGAAGAGTGATGAACGTGGTGAATGATGCGGTCCGGTGTGCGTAGTGATTAAAGTGGTGGTGAATAATGCAGTCCCGTGTGCCTAGTGATGAAAGCAGTGGTGAATAATGCAGTCCCGTGTGCCTAGTGATGAAAGCAGTGGTGAATAATGCAGTCCCGTGTGCCTAGTGATTAAAGCAGTGGTGAATAATGCAGTCCCGTGTGCGTAGTGGTGAAAGTGGTGGTGAATAATGCAGTCCCGTGTGCGTAGTGATGAAAGCAGTGGTGAATGAAAGTGGTGGTGAATAATGCAGTCCCGTGTGCGTAGTGATGAAAGTGGTGGTGAATGATAGGGTCCGGTGTGCGCAGTGATGAAAGTGGTGGTGAATGATAGGGTCCGGTGTGCGCAGTGATGAAAGTGGTGGTGATGTCCGTTGCGCCGGGTTGTGCTGACAGAAGAGGTCTGTACCTTCCGTGTGAAGTAAACCCAACATCACAGTAGATGACATCATTTCCAGTAATTATCGTGAAATAAGGAGGCAGACAGCCACAAGAGCATATGGTAATAATTGTAGAGTGCTGTTACTGGAGAATACGGTTGTTGTAGGACATGCTGTCACTAACGAATGCGGTTGTTGGCAATTATGTCACTAACGCATACGGTCAACTTGGAATCGCGAATATTATTAAGCATTCATCTGCAGGCTGTGAGCCGTAATCGCTGCTAAACAATATTCCAGGCAGTATTCTGCATCTGATTAGTATCCGAGACGATGAACTGACTTTTATTTATACACCCTCTTTATTTATGTTCGCTCGATTTTTTTTAATATTGTGACGAGGTTTTTTTTTCATCATCTAGACTAGAGATAGGAAACTTTTTCTTTAAACGTCTGTAAAGGGATGGAGTCAGAATACTGTTAAGTTTGTCGTGTAATTTCCAAACCAGCATATTTTCTGAACTGCATATGTGCAAAATGTGTTTTCCGAATAATACTAAATGGTTTTTGTCAAATAGTATAGTATCTTCGGCATTGAAGAATAGGTCTGTTGCCGATTCTTGTATTTTTCTTGACTAGACTGAACTTTTGATCAAATCTTATAGATATAGATACAAATAATTTAATTTCATTATGACAGAATCTGATTTTGAACTTCAAAGCGTGCTCCGATAAAGCTTCCACCAAAATTAAATTAATGATCGAGTTGATCATGCTTTTCATCGCGCACTGTTTTTCTTTCTGCTTCTGCGGAACATCTTACCAGTCCACCGAAAATATTTAGTTATTTAATAACGCGTGTTTAAACGAGGGTTATATCCAGTACTGCCTACTGAGGCCGTGCCACCGTGGCGGCGTAGGGCGTGGGCAAATCTTCAAGACTTCTACATAGGTACTCTTATTCTTATTGGAACAAACATCACTGATCACTCTGTGGCAACTAAACCCCTCCATTCTGTCGTGAGGCAACATGGGAGTGGGACAAGTCTTCAGCTCCCTCAGTCCCTCTCCCAGAGCCTCCCAAAAAGCACAAATCACCAAAAACTTTTTGGTAATTTGTGGGAGCCCTGAAGACTTTTTCAGTTTTTGGCAAAAAGTAGCTTTACAACTTACAAGGTGCTGTCAGCCTGCTGTGGAGTGTGGATCATCATCAGCAGACTGAGCAGAGCTGGGGTAATGCTGGGGTAATGATTCATTGTGTCATACATTGACACAAGTAATGCTTCAATAATTCAATCTCAATGTATTATTTAGGTCAGAATCTATATTTTTCCTCCTTAAAACCTCGATTTCGTTTTTTCAATTCGAAAAATAATTGCTAGCGCTACCTGTCACTTTTTTTACTTTTTTACTTTTTCCCTTTTTTACATTCTACGTTAATCTCGACTGCTTGACTCATTTCCCTCTTTGTTGTCGGTAGAATATTAGTTATATAACCTATAGATGCTTGATGCATATGTCTGGTGGGTTGCCTGCATCACGCGCCCTGCAGCACGAAGGCGTTAAGCGTTCAAGACAACCATGCAAGAGGCAAACGAACTTCTTGTCCCGATTCTCTGAATAAATTACGAGTGCATCAAGTTGTATTTCTTGAGTGAAAATGGATCTGCGGAACCTTTTTCTCGCTATGGCCTTTCTATTTATGTTATCTTTCTTCATCAATGTTATCTTCCAGCAAAAATGATAAGCACCGGTGAGAGAGGAAGTTCCTACATTAGTTTCGTCTGTTGCATTGAGCGCAATTGACAGATATTCATGGCGGTACGCTTAGTTTATAGAACATAATAAAGGATAATACGTTAGAAGTTGATGAAATGTTACGCTGTGAGCGATTTACTCATGCTAGATGCTGCCAGGCAATGAGACCGACTTAGTTTTAGAATCAATATTGACTTTCTCGATTTATTTTGTAGATTTTAAAAATACATTCAAATAAAAATAAAAAAACTTTATTTGAAAAAATAAAAAAAATTATCCAGTTCATTATTGTTGGAAAAATCGTTACAATAAATATGTTAAAGCCAACCGAGAAATAATAATTAAAAATATGACTCTTTGACGAAAGCCGTAATAATATTTGCAGCCGCTTGCTATTTAATATTTAATTCAAGCTCGTTTTGCAATTTTTTTAGCGACATTCTAAGTAATAATAACATTGTCAAAAGCTTCGTTATTATAATTATAATCTTTAATTCGCCTTCGACATTATAACTGAATGCTTTCAAATAATAAATCGTTGTTCAATAATATATATTTTCTTTGTGTTTTTACCACTCATCAGAATCAGATGATTGGAGTCTACAGGTATCGGAAAAGAAAACGCTAGCTTTGGTGTTGTTGCATCAAAATGAAGGGACTTCTCCAATCAACGTTTCTCTTTGTCATCGTCGCTATATCCTACCTAGCCTATTTTTGGTACTATTTCTCATCGCAATCATCTTATCCTACCCGGCCAGTTTCAACCTATTACACTTCAACATCAGGCAATGGAGAGCAACAGCCCTTAGAAAACAATTCTTGCCAATTTGAACGGCCTTTAGTATCCTTTGACCCAAGAGGTAGACTTGGAAATCAAATTTGCGAGTACGTTCATTTACTTATGATCAACGAAACTTTTTGTGTCGACGTGAGTATGCGCAAAGTTTTGTACATTGTCCAATTTGTGTCAATTATAAAGAATTTGACGTAAATGTTAGGTTATTATGCAGACTGTAACTTATTATACGCCCTATTAACTATGCATGTAAACGAGTGTCCAAATTGGGATCACCATACAACCCATCTTTGCCTTAACAAATGTAATTTTGATCTAATACTGCACTCAAAAGTGCCTCGCGATTAGAACGATTAATTTTTCACATTAAATTAATAACAGAACGCGTCTGCATGTGATGAATTATTTGCCATTCACTTGCATTGTTTGTTTGTTTGGATAACTAAGTATATGTATGAGACTCTGGAATCAGACTATGGCACCTAAGAATTCAATTAACTCAATTAATAGTCTGAATAATAATTCAGACATTTAGTAACTTCTTAAACTCATTTAATATTTAACGATGATAGTATTATTAATCATTTTGAACGCCTGAAGAAAATTATCTTTCCATATATTCTGTTAACGCTTTCATTCATATATTAACAGCCCTGATAGATATTCGAACTATAATTTATAAAAGTACTAATCAATATTGAATGCTAGCTGATACTTTAGAATGATCAGAATTATGATTTTATAAGATCGTATGAAATTGAGAGAAATTAGGTCTTTCAACCGTATTACTTTTAACGTAAAGGAATTATATTCTTTTAGGCCACACTTACTTTAAAATTAGAGGGCTTGTAATCTCTTGAAGCTAGTGGACCGTGTTACTTAAAAATACAAGGAATTGTATTTTCCTAAGATCGTTTAAAATACAAGGGGGAATTATGATCTGAAACCTACCAAAAAGTTAAGATCTCATGAAAAATAAGAAGAATTATGTTCTCCTTAGACTGCACTTAAAAATGTAACCAATCGTGGTTTTTTAAATTGAAACATTGTTACCTAAAAATGTGAGAAATTATGTTCTCTTTTCAGCGTTTAAATTTTAAAAGAGAGGAATTATAATTTCTAAATACCAATTGTTTCTCTAAAACGAAATAAATTAAGCTTTCTTTAGACCATTTTGATTTAAATTGAGAGTAACTACTGTGTGTTATGACGGTGTTACTTTAAAGGTGAAAAATTATGATTTCTTGTGACTTCGTACCTTCAGAATGAAAGTAATTATGATCACTTAAGACCCTGGTACTTTACAACAACAAGAATTATTCTCTCTGCAGACTGTTTTTATTTAAAATGCGAGAAATTATGATATCATAAAACTTTATTCCCATAATAGCAGAGGAATTATGATCACTTAAGATCGTGTTTCTGTATATTGCCTAGAATTGCGCTCTCGAACACCTGAAAAACGAAGGAAAATTTCTAATTCGTTTCAAACTTTTACTGCGTCCTGGAATATATAATTTTTCGTCACCAGTAATAATATTTGTTCAGATACGGACGACTCCCGCCATGCACAAGACATTGTCGGCCATCTTTCCCAACCTGTCTGTGGCACCACTTACGAATTCATGTCAAGAGGTCAGGAAAAAGTTTGAATTAATGTTCATGAAATAATGTCGATCATATTATGTTTTCACAAACTAGGAGGTGCTTTATTTAAATCATTAGTCATGAAATATTAACTAATGATAAACCATCAATTATTATGATTGCACTAATTTTATTACAACACTTCTCTTTAACTTCACTTCTTGTTTGTCTGTCTGCTACAAATCTTGTAATCAAAATTTAGCACACTTCTACTTATCCTATCGATCTGAAATTTTGCGTAATTGTTTAAAGTTGGAGACAATGCATGAATCAAATGTCAAAATAAATGATTTTAAAAAATAATAAAAATTTTTTTTTCAATATTAAAAAAATTGAAAAAATAATTTTGTCAGCTACAAATCTTATAACTGATATTTGACACACTTTTACCTGTCTAATTGATCTGAAATTTTGCACACTTGTGTGAAGTCAGAGGCAAGGCATGAATCAATTAATAGAATAAATAATTTTGAAAAAAATTATTAATTAAAAAAAAATTATATATTAAAAAATTGAAAAATTAATTTTTTTTAATATTCGAAAATTAAATGAGAAATTCATGGTACATCTTTAAGATTGGAGACACTGGATTCATTGGAAGTGTTGTCTTTAAAAAGTAATTTTTAAACGTATATTATTTGTAAATT